AGCCCTCAGCTTGTAGCGGTGGGCTTCTCCAGCTAGTTTCCGAATTGTGCCAGTCTTTCCAGCATATTCTGTCATCTCTTAATTGAGCCACTTTTCCTCCCACCAGCCACACTTTGATGAACTTGGAGAGGATAGTATTCTTTCTCTCGTCGTCCTCGGGAAGTGTCTGTTTCGTTTTGTTCCATCTGCATAGGATCTCCGCCTGAATCAGCGTCCTGGTTTCTGTCCAAACCTTCTCTCTTGGCGTCGATAGACCTTCAATCGTTCTGCTGCATCTCTCTTTCCATATAGCCCATAGCGTGACTTTCCTGATCATACCGTACCATGTCTTCTCTGTGTTGTTGAGGTCAGTCGGGATATTAGTCCACAGTAGAAGTTGGATGGGGTGTTCAGGGAAGGACTTAGTAAATAGGGACTCCCAGAGATCCAATGCCCTCGCCCAGTATTCTGTTGCTTCTTTGCATTGGATTAAACAGTGGAGTAGGTCTTCTGGTTTGTTTTCTGAGCTTATTGTGCATAGTTGGGAACTGTTGGGATCGTTCTTCCTTCTTCGAATGTGGAGCCATTGGTTGACCGGAAGTGCTACATAAGCTATCAGCCATTGGAGACTCCTAATTTTGACCGGTTTGATTGATTTATATTTCTTCCATGGAATCTGTGTGATTTGTTCTGCCTCTTGACCGATTAGTTTTGCCCATCTGTTTTTGATTGTTGGTTCCGGATCTTTGGTTTTGATGAATAGTCTGTACCCCATCTTCACCGAGTAGTCTTGGATTTCTGTCTGCTTGTATTTGTTCACTCCTGATGTCCACGCCCATTCTGCTGGGTCGAATTCCAAATCTTGGATCGCTGTGTCCATCCTAAAGATTGATTTCGGCCAGGAACCCATCACTCTCACCTTTCTGAGCAGAAAGATGTCAAGATTTGTTCTTACTACATCCTTGTCTATGATGGAGGCCGGCCCATGCACCGACAGCGATATTGGGTAGGAGGTAAAAATTGTGACAGTGTTTGAACCTTGTTGTTTGTGTGAGAATTGATAGGCCCTTGAGGGGGGGGTCTCCTGTAGCCGAACCCCCCATTCACCTGTTTTCCATGTTGGTGGAGTCTTTAAAAGATCTTTCCACCCTTCCGGAACGTTGCTGATGATGGCCTGTAGATTCCTCTCCCGTTGGTGACAGCCCTTGAGGAGGGCGGCCAGGTCATTGTCTGATACCCAGTCCCTTTCTCTTCATTCCATAAATGTTCGATTTTCCAGACTCCGTGCTTTACCCAGGATAGCCAACGTGTGCTTCTGGGCTTGAGGGAGAAAGGGTGATCACTTTCATCTCTCAACCAGGGGTTGCCGAAAAGAGGTTGCCTCAGTACCTCTTCTCTCGTCTTAGGCCTGCTGATTTTTTTCGGCATGATTTCCCTCCAGATCCTTAGCAGGGACGTCCAGTAGGGTGTAGGGGTTCTGTTCTCCGGGTGGTTATTTCCTTGTCGGCGGTTTCTGCGTCCTGTGGTGGGTGTCCATTCTTTGTTCATCACCCAGAAGAGACCTGGCATATTTGTTGGTGTAGGTACCGGCGCTAGTCCTCTAATGCTATCCAGCGCTAGTTTATTCCAAGCTGATAAAGGTGTTGAGGGTTAAGGCGCGTCCCATTGGAGATGTGAAAGTGTTGCCCCACCTACCCATCTTGTTGATTTGTTTAGTCAGCACGTTCTGGGCCATTTGGGGGGCAAAGCCTTCTTTCGTCATCAGGATCCCTAGGTAACGTGTGGGTGTCTCCGGTGTCTCCCAGGTCAACATTGCCTCTGGGCCTTGGAGCTGTGGGGGTTCTTCGTCTGACAACCACCACCCAATCGTTTTTTTCCAGTTAATCTTCATTTCCGAGGCGAGTCTGAAGGCTTCCATAGCTCTTACTAAAGCACTGAAGGACGTCTGACGCTCGTATAAGAACCGTGAGGTCGTCTGCAAACATTATAACTGTTGGGAACTTTAGATGGTGGGCTGAACCTGCGTTGATTTCTGGCAGTCTGTGAATGGAGGGATCTTTTTGTAGAAAGGAGGCTATTGCTTCCATAACAAAGAGGAAGATAGGGGGGGCTAAAGGATCGCCCTGACGGACTGATCGTGAGATTGGGTAGCATTCTGATAGGAGACCATTGACTTGTACACAGCCAATAGCATCATTGTACAAGATACGTACCCATTTTCTGAAGATCGGACCTACTCCCATCTTTTCCATACTCGCGTTTAGGAAAGCCCAGTTGACCTGGTCATAAGCCTTTTCAAAATCAAAGAACATTATTGCTGTATTAATTTTTTTTTCTCTCACTTTGTTGGCTGCTTCGTTTAGAGTGAGTACATTGTCAAGAATGTATCTTCCCGGTATGAAACCTGTCTGATCTATGTGGAAGCACTTGTCTGTAAGATCCAGGATCCTGAGGGAAGGGTTTTCGCCAAGATTTTGTATGGCAATGTGAGTAGAGAAATGGGCCTGTAGTTTCGTACGTCTTCTTTGTCCCCTTTTTTGTATAGAAGTGTGACTACACTGCTGCTTAACATGTTCCCAAGGCCCCCCTTCAGCCAGCTGTCCTTGTAGAAGTTCAGTAGATCTCCCCCAAGAAGTGGCCAGAATTTCTCCCAAAAATTTTTTGTGAGTCCATCAATGCCTGGAGTTTTGTTGTTGTTCATACTCTGGACTGCCGCTTGCAGTTCGTCCAACGTGATGGGCTTATCTAGAGCATCTGCCTGTTCTTGCGAGATGGTTTTATCTAGGTATTGGAGCATTCTAGTCCGCGCTTCTCTAGTGCTGGGGGGAGTGGGGGTGGGTGTCTTTGTTTGGTAGAGGTCTTCATAGAGTCTCTGCTGTTTCAGAGAGGGTCTTGAGGCCCTCTATTGAGCTAGATCTTGTGTTCGCTTTAATCCGTGCAAAGAAGTGCTTTGACATTGACTCACTGAGTTCATACTCATTCATTCTCAATCTTATTTGCAATCCCTTTAACTCCCACCATCTCCATACAGCCAGCTCCTCTCTTGCTTTGTGGAAAATGTTTGTATAGAAGGGCGAATTTCTGTCCCCTAGTAATCTTGAAAAAAGAAGATCTTGAAAAAAGAAGAAGGGAATTTTTTTTTTTTTTAGAAGGCCACAGAACCTTACGCCTTCTAGTCGCCATTGTGTGTTACCTGTGTGAGGGGGGGTGTGTTTTCATGACGCCAGCCTGACTTATCCTTTTTTTCACTTTCTGCCCTGCTCCTGACCTGCCTTGGATTGTGCTCCAGCGAGTTTGCCGACGTCAGATGACATCCTGCAATGTGCAGCCTATTTCTTCTACGGGGGCCCAAAGCCAGAGGTTCTGGTTCAGAAAGTGGGCCAATCGCCCCGAGGGCGGCCACCAAAACCACAAGCTCGCAGAACGATCAGTGAAGAAGCGGAGCATCGCGGAGGTATCAAGGGAGAAGAGGGGAGAAGGCGGCGACGTCGGTATCTGTATGTTGCACCGGAAGCCCGACAACGCACCCAAAACAAAGAAGACGATAGTGACCTTTTCAATATCGATGAAAACACGCCTGTCGAGGACATAGACTCAATACTGGCCAGCACAGACTACCGAGTCTAAGGGCCAAAAAAGTGTAGCCTGTGTATAGGCGTATAGAAAGACCTACAAATGACTCGACACTGGTTTATCTGCTTGTTCCTCGTCTTCCCTCCATCCATTTTTGGCAAGTCGCTTCTTTGCAATCCCTATTCGGCTTGTGTTTGAAAGTTCGAGACCAGCCAAGCTGTGCCTTAACATGATTCGCAGCACACGTGGCACCCGCACCACCCGTTGGTGGGCGGGGTGAACTTCGCGTCTTTAGCCAGATCGAACCTGGAGTTCAGTCATCTTCCTGCAATGCCTGGCCACCTGCAGCGACAACTTCCGCCTGCACTGCTGAGGATCTGCAGTGGTATGCGTGCCTGCCTGCAAAACCTGAGCGCCTCCAGCGTCCGCGTTATGCCTGCTTGCCTGCCTGCAAAACCTGAGCGCCTGTAGCGTCAGCGTTATGCCTGCCTGCCTGCAAAACCTGAGCACCTGCAGCGTCAGCGTTATGCCTGCCTGCCTGCAAAACCTGAGCACCTGCAGTGTCAGCGTTATGCCTGCCTGCCTGCAAAACCTGAGCACCTGCAGTCTCTGTGTTATGCCTGCCTGCCTGCAAAACCTGAGCACCTGCAGTCTCAGTGTTATGCTGGCCTGCCTGCAAAACCTGAAAACCTGCAGTGGCAGAGTGTGCCTGCAAAAAACAATTGCCTGCAGTGTTTTGCATCAGCAGCATCTGGCTGGATTCCTTTGATCAGATGAGTCTACTTGCAAGGGGTTGTTGTGCCCGCGTTATGTGGACTCTCCACCCGCTGTGAGTGGTGCTGTTTGTAGAGGCCCTATGCTGGCTGCTTTTGGATTGAAGTCAAGACATTGAGGAGGTGATTTTGTGCAACTCATACGCAGAGAGTCTATATATAGATGAAGAGTGTCTATATATAGATGCACATCCATGAAGAGTGTCTATATATAGATGTGCATCCATTGTGGTTGTGGTCCTGTCGGCCATGTTCTGTGGGCTATGGTCCTGTTGGCTATGTTCGGTGGGCAGGATATTGTGGCTATGGTCCTGTTGGCAGTGCATCCATGAAGAGTGTCTATATATCGGCCGGCGAGTGTGTTGCCTGTAGACGTTTCATGATGACCTTTCTTCGGATTGCAATGAAGATAGGATCTGCTTTGGCTCTTGCAGAGACGTGTTCAGTGGAAGGATATATTGGGTATGACTATGGTGCAAAGCGCTATCTATCTATCTATCTCTCTCTCTCTCTATATATATATCGTCATATAGGCTATCTATCTATCTATCTCTATATATATATATATATCGTCATATAGGCTTTCCTTCAGCACCTGGGTCATCTGTACAGATTTCAACTTTTTTGTGTGAACTTTTCTTATTTTCGCCGGAGGGGTACACGCCGTTTCCGTCCAGTTTTCTTTCTGGGCGTTTTTTGCAGAAACAAAGGTCGATAGTGAATTTGAGAATTTTTTGATGCGTTTGCCGGCCAATCCATTCAGGATTACCAGAGCACCCTTAGAAGGGGCAGGCGTTTGCGAAATGAACCCCTCACCCCCGCCTTAGGATTGATGATGATGCCAATCGTGCTCGACTGTTAGTGGATCGGTGGTGGGCAACCCTGAAAAGTTTCGACAAGTCGAGGGTTCAAGACCTGTCGAGATTTCAAGACCTGTGAAACTAGCAAGCGTATGCACGATAAACCCAAAGAGCAGGGGATGGACATGCAAGCCGTAGCTTTAGTATGTAGGACCATTGTAGGCTTTTAAGAGGCGAAGACTACATCATACGGGTTTTGAAAGAAACCATGGACGTGCAACTTTTTGAATTCATGCTGGTTGCCTGGATGTATGCATGTGCGCTGTGTTTGTGTGTGCCTGAATGCATTCTTGTGGCTGGATGCCTGTGTGCCTGTGCCTGTGCCTGCCTGCCTGCCTGCATGCATTACTGTGTGTGAATTCTGGCATGTGTTCTTGTGCTTAGATGGGTACATGCATGCCATGCAAGTATGTATGTGTTTGCACAGATGCATGTGTGCATGTATCCATGTGTGTGTGTGTGTGTGTGTGTGTGTGTGTGTGTGTGTGTGTGGTCGTGTGCCTTCCTGCATGCATGCGTGTGCCTGGATGGATGCATGCTCGAGTGCATGTGCCTGGATGCATGCATGCATGAGTGCACATGCCTGGATGCATTCATGCATGAGTGCACGTGCCTGGATGCATGCATGAATGCATTCATGAGTGCGTGTGCCTGGATGCATGAGTGCATATGCCTGGATGGATGCATTCACGAGTGCATGTGCCTGGATGCATGCATGCATGAGTGCATGTGCCTTTCTGCATTCATGTGTGTGTGTGCCTGTCTGCATGCACGCATGCTCTGCCTGCCTGTGTGCATCCATGCTCTGCCTGCCTGTGTGCATGCATGAGTGTCTGTGCCTGCCTGCCTGCCTCCTTGCCTGCCTGCATGTGTACGCGTGCCTGACTGCCTGTATGCGTACGCGTGCCTGCTTGCCTCCATGCATGCATGCATGTGTACGTGTGCCTGCCTGCCTGGGTGCCTGCACGCATGTGTACGTGTGCCTGCCTGAATGCATGCGTACGTGTATGTGCCTGCCTGCATGCCTAGGTATAGCTGCCTGCATACAGGCACGAACTGGTATGAACAGCCACACAGCCACATGGGCACACACGTGGGCACACAACGCAGGCACACATGTAGGCACACAAGCAGGCACACTAGGCAGCACGCAGTAGATGCCCACATACACACTGGCAGGCACGCATAGGCATATGTAGGCATGCAAGTGGGCATGTACATGGACACACAGGCATGCATGCAGGGCCATGCAGCCACGGCCTCACATTGTCCGCAAGAATTTATTAATTCACAAGTCATGAAACGGTATTCCCCAGTTCGAAGTAGCTGATGTAGGTCCCAGGACTCGATCCCTAGTTCCCCAACTTACCTGTGTACAATACCTGTGTAGTTGTAGGACTTGAACCTGTGACCTGTAGGATAGCCACTTGCAGGTAGGTCATCGTAGGCACCAGAGAAGTAAGGGATTCGAACCACAGACCTGTAGGGCAAAACTCGAAGTAGGGTCCAGAGGTCTTCTAGAAGGTCGACCAGTGGGCAAGTGGTGTAGCTAAGTCTACTTGCGCCGTAGGACTGTGACATCTGTCGAAGTCAACTGGTAGGACCTCAGTAGGACTGCAGTGAGTCGTAGGTGAGTCGTAGTGCAGTCGAGGAAGTGTCCAGAAAGTCCCTGTCCGGTCCAGCAAGTACCATATGGAGCTAAGGGTACCGGGGCCAGGGAATACAGGCCAAATCGGAGCTGCGCAGAAGTATAAATCAAGAGGCTGCGTCCAGCCATTCATTCATTCCTGCGGAAGCTCTG